CCGCTCTGGGAGGGGAGAGGGGCCTAGTGGTTGGAGCAGGGGGGCGTGGGAGCCAGGACTCCGGGGTGCTAGCCCCCGCTCTGGGAGGGGAGAGGGGCCTAGTGGTTGGAGCAGGGGGGCGTGGGAGCCAGGACTCCTGGGTTCTATCCCCAGCTCTGGGAGGGGAGAGGGGCCTAGTGGTTGGAGCAGGGGGGCTGGGAGCCAGGACTCCTGGGTTCCACTCCCAGCTCTGCCCCACCTGGCCGTCCGAGCCCCTCAGTGCTCGAGCCTCAGGCCATGGTTGCCCTGTGCAGACCCTACGGCTCTGCCCGCCCCCCTTCCCCCCGGACGGAACGAGGGACACGCGACCCTCGCCAGGCCCCTCCCCTAGTGTCCCTGACGCCCCAGGTAACTGCGGTGCCAGGATTGGCCGCCTGACGTCCATAAACCGACTCCACAGCCCCACCCCGCCAATGACCTTGGGCCCATCGTTGCATCTCTCTGTGGCTCAGTTCCACCCTGTATCTATTCACACTGCCAGCTCTCACTCTGTGTCTGCGCGTGCCCGGCCTGAGCCCCCGATCCTGGCGTGGGGTTTGTGGGTGCCCGGCCCGGGCCCCTGATCCCAGCCTGACCAGGGGCCCCAATCCAGCCCAGGGTCTGCCCAGTGCTCAGCGTGGCCAGGGGCCCCAATCCCAGCCCGGGGTCTGCCCAGTGCCCAGCATGGCCAGGGGCCCCAATCCCAGCCCAGGGTCTGCGTGGTGCCCGGCCCAGCCGGGGGCCCCAAGACATTGCAGGGATACAGATAACCCTGAGCCGCGCTGGTGCTGGGAGGCTACAGATGGACAGACCAACCTGCAGCAAATCTAAGCTGGGAGGCTGCAGACCAGCGCAGCGCCCAGAAGGTACACTGAGACCACGCCGGAGCAGCCGGAGGGGCTGGATTCGCTGGGGCCCAGAAGAGGTCTCTGCGCCCGGCCCCGGCTCTCAGGAAAGACTGTGAAGAATTAGGGAAAACAGGAGCAACCAGCCCCTCCTCGCCAGTGCATCCAACTCAGCATGGAGCCGCCCAGACGGGAATTAACCACATTAAACGGGAGACTGGGTCTGCGGGGGAAGGTCACGGGCGGGTCAGAGCTCGCCCAGCCTCGCGGAGCGGCTGCGGGGGCCTCCCCCCTACACGGGGATCGCTCAGGGCGGGGGATCGGCTCGGGCCCAGCACTAGAGGATTGGCCCCGGCACCCACAGGCAGACGGCCACGTATGGGGCATGGCAGAGCATTTCCGGCACAGCCGTGCCGAATGGGACAGTGGGTTATGCAGTGGTTGGAGCAGGGGGCTAGGAGCCAGGACTCCTGGGTTCTCTCTCCAGCTGTGGGGTCTAGTGGTTAGAGCAGCACCGGGGGAGGGAGGGGGGACGGACGGACTGGGAGCCAGGACTCCTGGGTTCTATATGCCCAGCTAGAGGGTGTGAGGCGACCCCCTTTCCTGCTCTCGAGTGCTGGGCTGGGCACCCCAAGGGGAACGGGGCACAGCCTGGCTGTGTGCGTGGGGGCAGCGGAGAGCACAAGGGTGCCCTAAGCTAGGCAGAGCAGAGACCCCCACATTTCAATCCCATGTCTTCCCTAACGAAGCAACAGCCTCGTTTCCCTGGGGGGGGATCTCATGCCATCAGCTCACTTGGGACCCCCCCGCGGGTGGAACGGGGGTTCCGCGATCATCCCAGGCCAGCAGCCAGAACTCTGCTCCTCGGGGGCGGGACGGGGCCACAAAGGGGCCAAGCCCTGACGGGAACAGCCCCCGCCTCCTGCCCCTGGCAGTGGTGCACCGACGCTGGCTGCGCCGGGAAATCACTCACCTCGGGCCGGAGCCGGCTCGGCCAAGCCCGCCGCAGAACCCGTGCTGGGCGCGAGCGTGTGCGCGGCACATGGGAGGGCTGCGGGCGGGCGCAGACTAAACACAGCGAGCGGGGCCGGGGGCGAGGCGCTCGTTAACCCGTCACTCGCTCACTCACACCGGGCTCTCCCCCCCCCTTCAGTGCCCGTGGCCCAGATTTAGGGTTTCAGAAGAAACGACCTCTTGGAGGGATCCCCGAGGCCGAGGCGCCCCGTCTGTTCTGCGTGGGGGGGGGGCACTTTTGATGTTTCTATTATATTTGTCAAACAGGAATTTAAGCAGAGCCCCCCCCCAAAAAAAGTCTCCCATTCCCAGCCCCTCCCCTGTCTGATAGACACACCAGGCTGGGAGTCGAGGTGGCCCAGCTGGACCCCTCCCCGCCATTAACACAATCCCAGGGAAACTGAGGAACCCAAACTGTGGCACCCCGAGCAGGATTACCCACCCCCGCCAGCCAGCTCCAAGCCGCAGTCCAAGGGGACAGGTCTGGAGATCCCAGGAGGCCCATTGGGGGTGAGAGGGGAAGGGCTCATTCATTCACTTGCCTGCACTGCCTGAGACCCCCCCCCCCCAGCCACGGGACCCCCTCCAGTGCCTTTCACACCTCCCCCGGCCAGCTGGGGGCAGGGTGACGCCAGGTCTGCGCTGGTCCTGCCCAGCTCGCGCAGACGTCAAGGGCACAGCCAGGCCAGCCTCCCCCACGCCATCCATGCGCACCAGGAGCAAATCACACCCCCTGAGCCGCTGCACGGTCCTGAACTCCCAGACCCTCCCCAGCCTGGCGCAGGGAGGGCAACACAACACAACACCGCACGGTCGGCTGGGCTGGGAGCTGCAGATTGGAGTCTGCTTCCTGCTCTGCTACACACTCCCTGCATGGCCCTGGGCCACTCACTTAACCTCGTTGCACCTCGGTTTCCCACCTGTTCTGTCCCACCTTCCTGGGCTGTACACTCATTGGCTGGGGGACCGCGTCTCGCCATCTGTCTCTACTGCCCAGCACGAGGCCCTGATCTCCGCTGGGGCTCCCCCCCACAGCACACGCCGTGCCATGCGTGTCCAGAGCCTGATTGGTCCTGCGTACCCCCAAGGTTCACCTCACTTAAAAACGACTTGCTTTCAAAATCCGCCATCAAAACACACAAGTGGCCCAGCAGGCGAGGACCGAACACGTGCGGGCTGTCTCATTGTAGCACTGCACGGGGACAGAAATCTGGTATTTACATTTCAGTGCATAGAGCAGTACATATAGACACACAGCGCTTAGTCTGTACTGACTTCGCTAGGGCTTTTCATGTCGCCTGTTGTAAAACCAGGCAAATCTCTAGATGAGCTGACGTACCCCCAGAAGACCTCTGTGTACCCCAGGGGTACGAGTGCCCTGGCTGAGAACCGCTGCCCTAAGCAAGGGGGTTTCCGAGTGCCCCAGGGCTGCTATAATTATGAATTATTCCTACTACAGAAGCCCCAAGAGCAGGGTCCCCGCGTGCGGTGCCCCAGCCCTGAGGATTTACAGTCTAGTCCAGCCGAATCAAATCCATTTCCCTTGGCCCAGAAGTTACCCTGAGCCCATGCTAGATCCTGCCTTGGGGGTCCGTATTCCAGCCAGAAAGATCCCCCTTTCCCACCCACCCCCAATATACTCTGGAAATACGTCCCGGGCCAATGTAATGCGGTCACCTCTGGGGAGGTACGCAGCCGCCACTTTGAACAGCCCACAGTTAGTGCAGGGAGGGGTAGGGGAATGCAGTGGTTTTAGATGGAATCCAGGGTGGGGGGGAGAGGGGTTCCATGGGGTTCCCCCCCATAGCTCCCCAGTCTCTCCCCATCTGCACCCCTTTAACTGGCTCCTCCAGGCAGCCCAGCCCAGCCCAGCCAGCCAACAATTGCAGGCTGTCACTGCACGAACCAGCGGCTGTGAAAGGGTTAACACCTGCTGCTGGACAAACAAGGAGGAGACGTTTAAAGGCAGGGCTGACCCGGGGAGCGAGAACGGGGAGGTTCCTTCGCCCCGCTGCCAGGGCCCCGATCCGGCCAGTGGAGCCCGGAGAGCCCCTGGGTGGGGTGGTGCAGAGAGCCCTGGGATCTCGGCCTCATTCGGCCACCACTTCGCCGGCACCAATCAGAGCACCCCCAGCAGAGTGAGGACCTGGTTCGGGGGCAGGCTGCCAGCCTCTTGGGGCAGTGGCTTGCACAGCGCCGAGCGCCCGGCCCGGCTCCGCCAGCAGCCAGCCCTGTCTGCACTGCAGGAGGCTTCGAGGCCCCGAGCTAGAGGACTGTGCCGGGCGCTGTATGAACAGGGACAGCTTCGTCCCGAGAGCCGCCATTTACAGAGCTAAGCACAGCGGGGGGGAGGGGGCACTGCCCCCATTTCACAGATGGGGAACTGAGGCTCAGAGACGGGACACGGCAGAGGAAGCCTGTGGCAGAGACCGGGAGAGAACCCAGGAGTCCGGCTGCCGGGCCCAACCACCCATGGCCTGGGGGAGGAGAATATCAACCACATGGTTTGAACTGTCCCTCCGGAGCGGATTGCTGGACTCAGCCGATACTTACCGGCCCCAATCCCAGCCGCAGACACCAGGCAGCTGTCAGACTGGCCCCCCTGAAGCGAGGGCTGGGGGGGCAGTGGGGCTGGCGCAGGTTCAGCTCGCAGGGCTCGTCCCTGCCCGACGGGATGCGGGCGAGACGCAGAGGACGAAAGGGGGAAAGAGAGAGAGGGGGTCCGGAGGGAGCGCGTACCAGTGTGCGTGGGGGGGATCATACCCCTGTTCCCGGGGGGCGGGTACTGGGCCCCGAGCCGCCGTGGGGCATGTGGCAAACCCCCTGCATAGGAGGCTGCTGGGCTGCTTACCCCCGGGAATGCCACGGCGAGGGCTTTCCTGTTGAGTCTAACTCAGCCACGCAGCACGCAGCCCTGCCGCGCCAAGAGAGGGGGGGAGTGTCTGGGTGCCGGGGGGCCCTCAGCATCCTCCCCCCCCCCGGCGTTCATGGCTCCAGACCCAGCCCAGCGGCCCCAGACACTCCCCAAAAGGAGTTTTGTTATTGTTCTGCAGCCGCCCCGCGGCTCTGAGTCACGGGCGGGCGCGACGCACCCAGGCCCCGCTCCAGGCCCTGGGAAAATCCTTGGCCACGCAGCAGACATAACAAAACTTTAACCCTCGCTCGGCTCGACTTGTCCGAGACGGGATCCAGAGTGTCCTCCCCCGGCCCCCCGCGCCCGAGCGCTAGCGTTTAGCTGGGCTGTTGTCCATGGCTGGAATCCAGGGGGGTGCGCTTCTGGGTCCCACACCAAAGCTTGGGCCACCCCGCTCCCAGCCAGGCTGCTGCATGGGCTAAGGGACAAGCAGGGAATGAGGCCCAATCTCTGCCACCGATCGGCTGCACAGCCTCGGGCCAGTCACGTCCCCACCGCCGTGCCTCAGTTTCCCTATCGTCTAACCTCGGCCTAAGAACCACCCAGTCTGGAACAAGCCCCGAGGCGCTGGCGCCTCCCAGCGCTCGCCCGTCCTGCGAGCGGCGCACTCTGTACCAGCAGCAAGGCGGGTCTTCCCCAGCTGGTACCCGTGGCCACCACAGGCCGTCGAGGCGTTTGCAGATCCATGCATGGGGTGCTCGTCCCGACGCGCCGGGGGGCGGGGGAGAACTGCACACGAGCCAAGCGCTATGTGGAGTGAAATGATGCGCGGTGCCTTGAAGGCGTCTCCGCTTGCCGGGGAGGGTCGCTGCACCTCTTTCGGCATCACCTGCACCCCTCTGTAAAGCGGGGAGCCGATGCCCTATAGGGGAGCACCAAGGGGCTCTACCAGCACTGGCAAAGTCCTCTGACGGCACCAGCCAGGGCTAAGTACTGGCTCAGGCAAAAACTACCCGGGTTTCTCCCGCCTGGCACAGGGCAATCTCCAGCGCGCCATCCCTCCATCACAGACCACTAACCTGCCACTAAGCTGGAGCCAGCGCTGGGACAGAAGGCATTCGCTGTGCACCGGCTCACAGAGACGCAGCACCATGGGCTGGAAGGGGAAGAGAAAGAAAAATCTTGTACCCGGCTGCAATTGCAAAGGGGCTGAGCAAGGCAGACTGGAATTTCTCCAGCAGGAATTAGGTGGGGACACCGGGGCCAAGCCCTCGCTTCTCGGGAGCCGCGCTGGGGGATCTGGACGGCCACAGACACGCAGCTCCACGAACCAGAACACGTTCTCTGCAGCAACAGAGCGACTGCTACCGCGCCCCCGTTCCCGGCACCGCCTTGGGCCAGGACTGACTGCCAGGGGAGAGCACCCCCAACCCAGCCCCACCCCTCTCCCTGCACCCCCTAGGGCCCGGGCCAGCACTGGGCCCCCGCTCCCTGCAGCACAGCACCCCCTAGCACCGAGCCAGGGCACTGGGGGCAGCGCAGACTGCCGGGGAGAGCACCGCCCACCCCACTCCCTGCAGCTCCCTTACTCTCCGAATCTCAGTGCGGGACAGGGTGTTAGCGCCGCCTGGCACAGTGAGGGGGCCCCACTCCCTGACCCCGCAGGCCCCGGTATTCAAAGCATCCCCCGAGGTGCCATGCTACGGCCTGCACGCCCCGCTGGGGCGACCGCAGGCCCCTTGCCCACCATCCCC